CGCGGATCGGTCTATCCAGGTTCGGAGAGATACTCCCGCTATCGCGGATTGGCCTCTCCCCCCTTGATTGCCGACTTCGGACCTCAGATCCCCTATCGGGGACGGCGGCAGGCCTCGGGCTCCTATTCCTACCCACATCCCTATCGGGAGAAACAGAAATGTCCCCCCTTGCGCGCGCGCGGGGACCATCCCTCGCACGCCCTGGCGGTGAATGCGACCTGTTAGGCAATCCCCGAGCCCTCCTGCTTCTGCTGTTAGCCCTCTCCCTATCGGGATAAATGGGATGCCTGTCTGCACGAGAAGGATCGACCCTACCGGGCACATCTGGCAAAGCGTGATCGACCAAATCGACACCTCCGCCCGGTCTCACCGGAAGGCCAGTACCCCGGCCATGACCTTCTCCGGGAGTGGGCGTCGGAGACCTGATTCTGTGTCCTTGCCCCGCGAAAGCGTCGTATCCGACCGTCTCTCTCTAGGCTGTGGGAGATTTGCCTGATTGTCCTGGGCACCCTGAATAATGACAGCAGCCTCATCAACATGACCTTCAATTTCATAGAGCTGTGCCATGAGCCTGTTGTTCATTCCGTTAAGAGTACGAATGTTGCTCTCAACCTTGTTGATCCTCCTCACCGAGGCTTCTAATGTGTTGCGGAATGATTCCAACTCGCGCCTAACGACAGACCGTGCTTGCTCAGTACTCACCGGAAGGCTACGAATCTGTCCCCTGATATCATCAAGAACTTGATCCAGAACTCCCGAGCTCGCCCCAGACCGCTCGACACGGGACTTCACGGTCTCAAACCTCGAGATGATATCGTCATGATCCCGACGTTGACGTTGAACTTCGCGAGCTAGGTCCTGAATCTTCCGATTGACCTCGTCAATTGCCTCATGCCAGTCCTGCGGGGAATCATGCCCTGATGGTCTATCGACCTCCTGGGATCCCCTTCCGTGTTGCAGCCTCGACATCCGATTAGCAAGAAGGGTATGCTCTTTATTTATGCCTTCAATAGACTCGGAGGCCCACTTAGCAAACTTCTCGTGTTCAAGGAGAGCTTTCTCGATCTTCAGGTTTAACTCCCTGAAATTCGCGTCAACCACACTGCTGCTGGCCCTATCGGACGGTTGCGCGACAGGATTCGGGTTCCATATACCTGCTGGCGTCCGCATCCCGACAGTTTTCTCTACCGAGAACATTCGTTTCTCAAGCTTATCCAAATCCTTGAGGATCTCGTCCTCGGAAGCAGCATGGCTCCTGCGGGTAGCCTCACTATTTTCGTGAATCTTCTGGCGAAGCTGATCTGTTGCGAGTTCACTGTCCTTAACAGATTCGTGAATCTCGTGGGAAAGCAGATTGATCCTCTGCTCGACGACTTCAGCCTGTTCATCGATGGCTTGCCTCACAATGGCATTGCTGTCAGGAATAACTTCCCTTGCAAACCGTTGAACTATCATTCGCATCCTCCCGGCATCAGATTGAGTCGCAACCTCAGCTGCCAGGCGATCGACCTTGTCTTTCGTCTGTCGGCTCTCGTCACTCCATTCCCTTCGCATGGAACTCACCTGACCGTTCAGCACCCTGATTTGGTCAGCAAAGATATGGAACGCCTTCGCGACTGAGCCAGAAACCTCACCCCTTTCGAGCATCTCCTGGATGTGCAACTCGAACATCTCCTTTGCCCTGACGTCACCTGATTCGCCAGAAGACTGAGATCTGAGGGCGGGAGGAGTCGATATCTCGATCCTCTCAGGAGCCCTACTAGCCCCGGCATGCCTTCTTGGGTCATCTACGGGACAATCATCAATCCTGGATGGCCTACTCGGGGTGGATCCCCTTCTCCGGCTATCGCCAGATCGGGGATCAATGTTGGATGCACGTGACTCGGGGGTGGAGTGAATGTGAACATCAGCAGGATCAGGCATCTCCTCATCCTGCGGAGTTGAATCCATTGGTGAGGGGCTAGCCCTCCTCGCCTTTGACCTATCGGTCTCAATGGCCAGGGGTGACGGTCTCTTCGCGGAAGCACTACGTTCCCTGGCGGTCGAGCCCCACTGAGGTGTGAACTCGTTGCTAGACCTAAGTGTTTCAAGGTCACTAGTATCTCGCCCTAACGGGCTAGCGATCGACGGATGATCCTCGATTCCGAGTGCATCGGCAAGCCGGCCATCTCTTGCACCTCTCCCAACGACATCGGCAACCCGCTCAGTGATCCTCGGCGAACCAGTAACCCGGTTCGAGTTCACGTCTCTCTGATCCAACGGACCTCCAAAAGTAATGTTGGGAAAAGGGGGAACATTCGGGGTATCACCGATCGCCGGGGGACCTACCGGTCCCTCACGGTCATGGATAGCCTCCAATTCCCGAAGAACTTCCCGACTGTCCCTGGCTCTCTCTCTCTCGCTTCGGGCGTCCCTGTCAACACGAAGGTCCCTGGCGGCTCCACGAGAGAGGCTCCTGGGCCTCGCAGCATCACGGATCCTAGCACTTCGTCGTGATTGGTGCTCCTCCTCATCACGGCGATCCGCAAATGCGGCATACTCGTCATCATCATTTACCTCAAACTTGGCAGCGGCAGGACTAGTCCTTGCAGCCGCACGGTTGCCTGCACTTCGGCGCGAATGGCTCTCCTCCTCATCCGCAAAATTGTAATCTCCGTCATCATAAGACTCAGATTTGGCAGTAATAGGGTTGGGCCTACCGGCATCAGATCCCTGCTTTGAGCTACTGCCCCATCCTGCGGTCGATTTCAACAGATCATCGCATCCGAAGTCTGAGAACTTCCGCTCCTCGTGCTCATCAAACTGACCTGGATTCTGAGAACCAGTGGATCGGCCCGGGATACCTCCCGGAGCCAGAACCATAGTCCCTGGTCCCTGCGGCCTATTCTCAAACTCATCCGAGACCTGCGACTCACCTGGAACAAGAGATCTCGGAGGTCGAATCGGCATGGCCTCCGGGTCATCCGAATGAGGGCGGGCCATGTCCATCGCCATGCTGATGAAGTCAAAACGTCCACGCCTATGACCTGATTCAGAGCCACTCCTATCGGAGTAAACCCTTCGTGTCTGCTCGTCATCAGTGGCCTGGCGGAAAATACGATCGTCTCCATCGTCGGCGTACCTGCCACGGCTCCTGGGTGTATCCCTACCGGGATCTTCACCCCTGCGGTCCTGACCTGTCGAACCTGCTTCGAAATCCTCGTAGTCATAGTCCGGTAGGTCCTCACCTGAGCGGAGGCCACCTAGGATGGCCTCCTCATCCACGACGCTCCTTCGAGATCGTGGGGTCGACATAGAGCTTGTAGTTGATGGTCTCAAGCGCGTAGGAAAGTCCTACGGCTGATAACCTGTGATTCGGGCACGAGCCTGTGCCCAGGCAATGGGTAAGTTGGGGTAAACAAGCCACAAAAGAAAGGTTCCCCAAAAGCAAACCAATCCCCGGTCCCAAAGATCAGGGTTTCCCACACACCAGAGAACAACAACCAAAAGGAAACAAACCAAACAAGAAAAGGGTTAACCCGCAACCTTGGTCGACAACAGGCCGCACGACTGGTCCCTACCAACCTGGCGGCGGCCCGAGGTCTCTTTCTCCCCCGAGATGCCGTCGGTCGACGCAGGGGTTCGGCGACGCCCATTCGAGGCGCGACGGAACCCAAAACTTGAGCCAAAACACCACAGGTCGGTCACTAACGCGACGTCCCTGATGATGATATGAACCATGGCTAATCACAATTATGAATGGGAACGGGTTAAGATGGAATGAGGAAAGCGGTAGAAAAGAGCGATCACACCTCTCGAAGAGACTTGGATTGTGAGGTGGCTCTTTCTCTTTCATTCACGATCCATCACATCCTTGTATCTGAGATTTTTGCGAGGATGTGGTTGAGAACAGACTATTTCTACTACTTCCCAAGCCGTTTTAATTGACTCTATTGGCTTGACTAGTTTGACAACTTATATTCCAGGAAATGACCGTGTAACCAGACAATGTGGTATAGAAGAGCACCCCCCTGAGGAGGGAAGTGAACGGAGGAAGGAGTGGAGAGGCTGACCGCTGGCCTAAAATCCTTTCTCAGCTAATAAAAAATGGACTTTTTCTAAATCTGACGATAGAAAATGGTGTGAAAAAATAAGGTGAGAGAGGCCCTACGTCCACTTGCACCCAAACACGATTAAACAACGGCAAAGATAGGAAGCACTTAGAATGAAATTCACGAATTTTACTCCTCTCGTCCTCGCTTCTAACAATTGCCACCTGTCAAGGAGGCGAGTTAATGGAAGAGAAAGAGAAGGAGAGAGAGAGAGAGAGAGAGAGAGAGAGAGAGAGAGAGAGAGAGAGAGAGAGAGAGAGAGAGAGAGAGAGAGAGAGAGAGAGAGCGATAGAGAGAGAGAGAGAGAAAAAGAAAGAAAGAGAGAGAGAGAGAGAGAGAAAAAGAAAGAGAGAGAGAGAGAGAGAGAGAGAGAGAGAGAGAGAGAAAGAGAGAGAGAAAGAGAGAAAGAAAGAAAGAGAGAGAGAGAGAGAGAGAGAGAGAGAGAGAGAGAGAGAGAGAAAGAGAGAGACAGAGAGACAGAGAGACAGAGAGACACAGAGACAGAGAGACAGAGAGACAGAGAGACAGAGAGACAAGACAGAGAGACAGAGAGACACAGAGACAGAGAGACAGAGAGACAGAGAGACAGAGACACAGAGAGACAGAGAGAGAGAGAGAGAGAGAGAGAGAGAGAAAGAGACAGAGAGACAGAGAGACAGAGAGACAGAGAGACAGAGAGACAGAGAGACAGAGAGACAGAGAGAGAGAGAGAGAGAGAGAGAGAGAGAGAGCTGAGAGGTGGCACACCTTGAAGAATTCCTGGACCTGGAATGTTTGGAGTTACTTATCCAGGAGTTCAGGAGTTACACCGCTCCACCTGCCTAGGGTACATGTAGGAAGGCGCGTTGGACGCGTGACACAAACAAACATACAATAGCAAATGATTTCCGCTCCTTGCTGTCAAGAATCTTTTCCAGCTTGCGGTAGTAATCGTCATAGGACGGCTGCTGCTCATCGTCCTGCTCCTCTGGTTTTGCAGGGCAAGCTGTGGCATGTACCATGCGCGGGATAGATTCAGAAAGGAATGCGCGCCGAGCAAATCATATTCCTCCACAAAAACAGCGGGAGTGCTCCTGGTCAGTGGGGCCTCCTTCAAGCAGGGTTGTGAGGGGGGCTCGCCTCATGCTTTGGAAAAAGGAGCGCGCAAAAAAAACAAAAACATCTGGGCAGTCGTACTTTCTCAATACTTTTACGGAACGCTAACGGAGCAATTATATAATTTTCCGCCACGCGTCCGTTTGCGCTTTTCATATTCCTGCCACGCTGCAGGCCCAGCCTGGCTCACCTCCTCGGGTTCGACCTCGAGATCCATAACCTGGGAGAAGCCGCTACAGCACCTTGGTTGCCTGCAAGCATCTCCAGAGTGGCCTTGTTACCAAATCAGCAATTCTTGCGCATGCAACTGAACACGCTTCCCAAGTCCGGCCTGTCAGCCGCGCTGTTTCTATCAGGCACATGTCAGTCTGGATCTCTAAAATCGTGTGTCCCACTGCGCTGAGTTGACAACTGTTCTAAAAGAAGAGTAGAAAGAATCAGTTGTGTGTTTCAACTCGATGCAAACAATTGAGCATGCACTAACAACATCTGGAGCCGAAACCCGAACATCCTCACATGTCACGGCTGCGACGGTCAGAAATCGTAAGAAGTGCGCAACAAAGAATCCAAAAACAAGAAGCCGCACAGGAGGCGCACACGCCATTCCGTCGGGAACCCCCGGCTGCGCAAGTGCTAGCCGGCAGACACCTGGCGAGCAGTGAGAGGGCGCCTTACCTGCGTCGGCAAGCTCGGCCCGGGGCGGGAACTCACCGTCGGCCTGGCTGAGCGGCTCCACCCACTGTGCAGCAAAGGCCGTCATGGCTCCGTACGATAAGGGTGCAGAACAGGCTGGACTGGAGACAGCGCGGAGGGCGCGCGGAAAGGAGGCTGCCCATTACTCCACCGGCTCTCAGCCACGACGTGCTTGGCTGCTCATAGTTGCTGCCCGCAGTGGCTAGAACTGTTTCGAGCTGTAAATCACAGTTTCTAGTCAGCACTTTGGGCAGGCCAAAGAAAAGTGGCTTACTTGAGTTCATAGGTTTGAGGCTTGCCCCTTCAAGACCAGAAGTTCCGTTTCATGTTCTTCTTCTCTCGCTCAGCTTTCCAGGATTGCTGCGAAGGCATGCGTGCAGGCAATGGCGGCATGCATGTAGGTAGTGCAGGCATGCATGCAGGAAGTGCATGAAGCAAGGTAATATCAGATGACGCATGCACGTACACGTGCAATTACGCGAAATAAGGATTTGTAGCTTCCGTGTGCAAAATATCCGTCAGGCTGCATGGGCAAGTTCGGCTTCCAACAACCGACTGCTGCGCCGCCGCTCTCTTCGAAGAGCCGGCGCAGCATGCGCCGCTATTGCGGCCATGGAAGTGTCGCAATTTCCTGGAGCAACGCGATGCCATCTGCCCACGCTTGACCCCGCAGCCGCCGGAGTCAGCATCGGCCCTCGCTGCGGCGCCTGCAGTGGCACGCCGACGCCAAACCGCAGCTGGCCACCTCACCCACATGGGTAACCAGCCCCATTAGAGGCTCCAGACAAGGTTGAACCCCCTCCCCCATTTTATCAGATAAAATAGGGTTAGTTTTTGTTCCTTCTCCGCAGCAAGTGCATGACCGGCAGGCCTGCGACCCTACCCCTACCCGCGCAAGGCCGCCAGTCAGCCCCGCGGCGGCAAGCGGCTGGCAGGGGGGGAGCCTGCGAGGCGCGCGTCCGCGCGGAGCTCAGGCAGCATCGGCTCGACGCCATCGATGGCATCCTCACCCGCCCCCGGCAAGCCGGCCGGGCTCGCGGCGAGGGCGCGCTGGGTTGGTCCATCCTTATTGAAACTAAAATGAAATAGTCCAACTTTGATCAGGGAACCCGCAGATGGGGTAGCACTTTTGTAGCTGACGCTGAAGCCACATTCGCCGCCACATTCCTGGACGCCACATTACCCTCTTGACGCCACATTCTCTTGGCGCCACATTACCCTCTGACGCCACATTACCCCCTGACGCCATATTCCACTGACGTCACATTCCCCCCTGACGCCACATTCCCCCCCGTGACGCCACTGACGCCACATTCCACTGCCGCCACATTCCCCCGTGAAGCCACATTACCCCCCCTGACGCCACATTGCCCCGTGATGCCACATTCCCCCCCCTGACGCCACATTCCCCCCTGACGCCACATTCCCCCGTGACGCCACATTCCCCCCGACGCCACATTCCCCCCTGACGCCGCATTCCCCCTGACGCCACATTCCCCCCTGACGCCGCATTCCCCCTGACGCCACATTCCCCCGTGAAGCCACATTCCCTCTGTTTGGCAGGCCCCTGGGCACCCAGACGAATCCAGACGCAGTTGTCAGCTGCGTCTGGCTTCGTCTGGATTGCTTGCGGGCCTCTGAAAGCCACGCTCAAGTTGGCATCTGCTTGTCAAAGCTGCGTGTTATGAAACTGAGATTTTATCAGCAAGGGAAAGAATGGAGAAGTGACCCTTAGAATACTGCTCATGTTTAGTTTGTCTTTTGAACATAACCAGGGGGGCGATGCAAATTTCAACGACGGTGTTGCAAATTCACACAACTCACGGACAGCGCACGTGCACACGGGGGTTTCTCAAAATAGGATACACCTTTTGGGTGTTCACTTAAAACCAGCCAAAAGAGGGGGGCCTCCTATTTTGAGAAATCCCCAGATGAGTCAAAATCAAAACCTGGTACATAAATCCTGTTCCCCCACCCTCCACCACAAAGTGAGCTATACTTTGGCGACCGCTTGGAGATCTTGGGTGGCATTATTTACCCTTCACACAACCCGCGGCCTTTGGCTTTGACTCAAATAACCCCTCTTTGTTCAGTGAAGGGGTTGGCATTAAATAGATGGCGTAGGTCAACAACAGGCATGGAACAACATGAAAACGGGTTTTAATTTTGACTCACATTTGGCGTCCAGCGGTTGGTTTTCTTCTCTGCGGAGGCGTAGTGCAGCAGCGGCAGCAGCTTCTGCGGAGCGCAAGTGGCGCGGCAGAGAGGGCAGGATGCTTTGATGCCACACCTGAGCACCAAAATGTGGATTCCCTTTCTGGACCCTCCCCCACCCACTAACAGTGACCACCATAATGTTCTCTATTTTAGTGAATGGGTTTTGGAAAAGTGCTCACTTTCCACTGTTAGTGGGAGGGGGGAGGGTCCAAGATTCCCTAAGTGTTGCAGCCAAACTACCCAGCTGTGACCCGTGGGTGTGTCTCAAAATGGGGACCTCTTTTGGAGCTGGTTTTCCTTTTGGTTTCCATTTAAAGCCTACCAAAACAGGGTTCCCTATTTTGAGACAGACCCCCGTGGCCATGGGGAAAAAAAGGCCTGCCTTGGACATCCACTATCATCCATAACGACAACGTCCAAACGGAACGGAAGAGAGGCCTTTTCCAAAATTGCACTCATCTTCCAAAGATTACCGGGCCTAGAAAACTCATCCACTACGACGTCCTTTTTAATTCGTGCAACCAAACCAACTGAATCATGCGTGATGAATCATTGCCACTAGGGGGATTGCCTCAATCTGGCAACTAAATCGACATAAACCAACCATTGTGCATGACCAAGACATGCCGAAACCGATCTTAACTAGAAGGTCTGGTTGCTGCCATAGTTTTCTCAGGAATCTGTCCAAGCAGGAAAGGTAACAACAAGGCTACTCACATGACCCAGCGACAAGAAAGGACAAATTAAAACGAATTCCGGCATTCACAGAAAGACAGCTGTGCATCTGGCACCTTCCAATTTTCCCACCCTTGGGGTTGCAGTGTAGGGAAAGGGAAAAGTTTGGACCCTCCCCCCATACACTAACAGTGGCCACCAGGATTCTCTGTATTTTATTGGACGAGTTTTGGAGAAATCTTAACTTTCCACGGGCTTTGTGCTGCCCGGGGGAAGGGTCCACAAAATTGCCTCTTCAAAGGAGCCCCTTGAAATATACCCATGAAAGGGCCGACCTCGGATCAATCAACTCCTGGCTGATTAAAAAGGGCTTCCGCTAAAAGTTTGTCTCTTCATTTCTGGTTGTATCTTGTAAGCGCAGCAGCACCGGCAGCCAGTGTCCCCACTTCCGCCAGCTGCGCCAGCTGCGCTCGCCGCGGCAAGTAGCACGCGGAAGAAGGCGCTGCAGAGGCGTTGGGCAGTAGCGGCAGGGCGAAGCTGGGAGACAAGCAGCAGCTCGGTGTTTGATACGCTGATGGCAAACGCCTGGCAATACATCTTTGCCCTGTGGGAATCTGTGTCAGAAAGAAGCCAAGCTATCTTAGGTCTCAGCACACCAATGGGGCTGAATCGAGAGTAATGAGAAACACGATAATACTCTGAAGTGCCCTGTCTCATATGAGTCCCTGCCTCCAGCTACGAACACTGAATACGAAACTATAGGGGAGCCTTTACTTCAGGCAGCAAACCACTTACGTGAAGTAGGGCTCGTCTGATAACACAAACAAGCCAGTTGCAAGAAGCATCAGGGTGCCAGATCTTGAAGGCAAGTATTTGTAGCGCGCGCGTACTGTAAGCACGGTGAAACGCAGACAGGCGGAGATGCCTTACTGCTGATGGTTGTGACAGAGGTTGGCCTGTCAAGGTTCCCACCTGTTTTATGATCCCAGCTTCAGGGCGAAGACATGGAAGCGAGGCAACAGCTGGGCACAGTGCAGTCGCTTTACTGCTGATCAGATGGCGCCCTTTGAGGCATGTCTCCGGACCAAGCATCTTCTGGGCCCAAGCCGTGGCGAACGAGCTTCTGGACAGCTCGAAGAGCGCGCAGCCGATAAGCAAAGCATACAAAATTATAAGTCCTGGGGTAGGTTCCTTCGGTTCCCATTCCGAAGTAAGCTTTCGCTACCATCACGTTTTCCTGCCAAATTTGAGCCTCAGGTCTGAACGAGTGGCATCTCTGACTCACGAGCACATCTTGCCCATGATAGACAACGTCTGCCTTGTGATATCCTGAGTCAGCCACAAGCAGAAAGAAGACAACTTACCTAAACTATCCCTGAGCACTGCATGCAACTGTGAGTTTGACTGCGTGGAAAGGACACAAAAACACGACTGCATTCCAAGCCGGCGCACGCACTTGGACGGAAGCACCCTCAAGAAGTCCGGCCACGCTGTTGGCGAAAGCCGTGGGGACCGCATCCCACATGGCCGCAGCATAGCGAAAGTCCGGATGCACGTCCACGGTCCAGGGCACAATTGGCATGGAGATGACAGCAGCAAGCTTGTAGTCCTCTTCTTCATCGCCTGCTTCGTCCTTATTAAGGGCGAATGAGGTCGAATTCGAAGTTTCTTGAAAAAGCCGGAGTGCTTCAGCAGAAACGCACCGACATCCTAGTGCATTCAAACAAGGAGGGGCGCTCGTCTACCAGTTCTACACCCTTCATCCAGACAGGCGGAAGCAAGGGGGATGTGTTCCATTCACC